TTAATAGTATTTATGGAGCTTTATGGATTATGATTATATGCAACTGGAAATGAGAAACAAGAAAAGTAAAAAAAAAGAAAGTGCCTGAATAGAGAAAAAAAAAAAGTAATTATGTATACTATGAACTCCTCTCTCCCACTAGTGAGCACCCAGCATTTTGCAGAACTCCTGCTTGACCTTTGAGTGCTTTTTCCAGCAGCAGTGAATGGTCCTGGGAGACCTGGCAGGTTATGTTGTGTTTGGCTCTTCCTGCTCATATCCAGCTGCTAAACCAGCTGAAAAAATACTTTATGCAGTTCCATGTGCACATTTTTTGTCATTGCTGCAGGGGTGATCCTGCAGATCAGTGACAAGAGTGATACAAAAACATAGGAAACAAGCTTTCTGTTAGTATGTGACTTGTGCAATGGAAACATATTAAATCCCCTTATAAAATTACACCAGTTGGAAAGAGACTACAGGATGGCAACAACTGAGCAACTGAAAGTTTAGATGGAGCTGCAATAATAAGATACGGTATATCAAACATTATTCTCTCTCCTGGTTATCTTGTTCTTTTTCTTGTTATTGTTGGGGGTCTTCCCATTCCAGAAGAGCAGCTACACCAGAAAATCACAGCAGTGTGACAGAAGCAGAAAACTTTCCCATAGTGCTCCTAGGAGGCTTTTTAAAAACATATTTGCTGAGACATATTTCGCTAAGGAGTCCTGCTCCAGTACAGGGAGATGCTCTGAGACATTTGTGCAGTTCCTTTCCTGTGGGATTCCCCTTTCCACTTATGTCACATGAATCAAATCCAGTAGAAGGCAGCCTTGCTGACTCCAGCAAGTAGTTTTTGCCTGGATTTGTGCATTTTGGCCACTAGAGGTTGTAAGAGAGAGGGAAATAAAATCTTGTTTTCCACGAGAGAATCTGCAGCAGCATCCCAGAGCAGGATTTTTTCTAGGACCTTGTCCACCAGAGCTCCCACAAAATTCCTGCACATTCCTTGCATGTACGTAGACGGGATCCTGATGTCTCAGCTATTTCACATTTATCAATATCAGTTTGTTGCCTTTTAGCCCCAGGGCATTAATGGCCTTAGTGTGATCCCTTAAATCTGAAATAAAATGTCTTCTGATTCTCAGAATCTTTTAGAGAGAGAGCAGCAACCTGTATCTTTTCTCTGCAGCATGAACTAGCTCTTTTGGCTCTTTTCACACGTTCCTTGTACAGATAATTTCACTCTAAGATGTTTAGGCCAGACCTTCTTCCCCCAGCCTTTATGCTTTTTCCTGGTGCTGAGTAAGAATTTGGTAATGGTCTTGTATGAATGTAAGAATTTTGCTGTGGTCCCCTGGAAACATCACAGTCTGTTGTACCTTGGCACCTTGCAGGGTCCTCAGCTGCCTTCCACATGGGCTGTAATTCTTTCCTCTAGTTGCTAATAATTCTCTAAGTCTTCTAACTTCAGTACCTCTGCAGTTGGGGATACCATCTTCCAAGAAGCCTCAAGAGTGCTGAATTTTGTTTGGGAAATACAATGTTAAAGCTAAGTAATCCAAAGAGTAGCCATGATCAAAAATAGCTATAATGTAGCAATAAGTTGAACTTCAACCAGGTGAAGGATTTGCAAACTTTTCTTGCTGATGGCTCTTTTGGATGGCACAGTGGCTGCATGTGAACTCACAGTACAAGACCTAATCATCACAGAGCTCACTGATGATGGGACTCCACTTCAGGCATTGCACACTGATAGGAATCCTGTCCTCTGCAGTAAAAGGCAACTATTCCTCGACTGAAGCACAGCAAAGACATTGCAACAATTCCATTTTTCTGGCTGCAATTTTTCTCAGAATTTTGGGGACAGGATTATCAGCACAATATTTTAAACCTTCAAAAAATACTTCACAATCTTAAACTACTTATTTTTTGATATATTTTATGCCAGTATGTTTAGCTTTATCATCATGTGGTTGAAAATGACTAATGTCTTCAGTCCTAACTCTTTACCATGCACAAACACCAGTAGACCAAGCTTGTTTACCAGCACTGGAAAAACACAAAAGTCTCAATTCCAAGATTTTATGGATGGTAAATAGCAACAAGCCATACTGATGATAAATGTATTGAATTGTACCTTGCAGTGCACATCTTAATGTACAGCAGTGGCCTTGATTGTGTAATTTTGTCAGTCCTCAAGTTTGAGAGACAACCACTTGTGTCATGGATCTCAAGGTCCCAGTTCAACTGCAAAAAAGAATTACTATATTTACGTGCCTTAAAATGTCCTTATTTACACACTTTAAAAAACCAAAAAACCAAAACCCGGTAATAAATCAATTTTTCTTCTTTCACCTTAAAACTCACTGACTGCAAAGCAGAACCTCAGACTTAGGAATAAGGCAACACAGATTTCCCTATTACTTAGAGTTCATGGACAGAAATATTTTCCATCTGAAGCAGTCTCACAATTTAATTTTTATGACTAAGACCCACCATTGCCCTATCTTCTCCATAGATGGAGACAGCAAAGTGTCCTAAGAGAACCCACCAAAATTGCTGAAGTTCATGTTTCAAGCTTCCTTGTATTGGATGCAAATGTATCACATGAAATGGGTCCTTCTAGCCCAGTCCCTGCCTCTGTCAGTGGCCAGAAGGGAAGCTCAAGAACAATTTGAGAAGAGGCCATGCCCATGGTGGCAATTTCCTGGATATCCCCAGTCTCCAACAGTGGAAAAGCACAGGGCCCTCCCAACCAGCAGGGATTTCTCGGTGGATTTCCTGCTGGCACCAGGCCCTGCTGTGTAACTCCCACTGCTTCCCTGGCAGCTCCCACCCCTCAGCGCTGCCCACAGGGCCATGCAGGGCCAGAACCCTTCCTCAGGTCCGTGGTTTGGGGTCAAATCCCAGCCTCCCCAGCTGGTGTGGGCTGGGGGAATGGAACAAAGCAGTGAGGTTTAGTTGCCATAAGAGCCAGAGTGCAGGTGCCAGGCTGGAAGTGCAGCAACAACTGGTCAGGAGTGAGGGCAAAGCCAAGCCCTGTGGCAGAGGTGAGTAATGAACCCTGGGCACACCTGTGCTGGCCCCACAAGGCAAGGCAAGGCAATCTGGTAGGATTAGAGAATCATCCAGGTGGGTTCTAAACATCTCCAGAGAGGGAGAGCCCCCTGACCTCCCTTGGCAGCCTGTTGCAGAGCCCTGCCACCCCTCACAGCCTCACTCTGCTGTGGAGTTGCCCCAGGGGATGCCTGGCCAGCCCTCTGGGGAGGCTCCTCCGTGCCTGGCTGTCTTTCTGTAGCCATGGACTCGGGGCCAGGGTCTGGCAGCTGAGGAGGAATGGCTGGGACTCCGAAGAGCATCACCTGTGGTCTTGCAATGCACGGCACCACCACACCAAACCACACACTGCTCCAAGTTCTACTGCCAAAAAGGGCTGTAGTGGTTTGGGTGCCAGGTGTTCAAATCATGTACAAGTGTGTATGTGTATGTAGGAGGGAGGAATGTATTGTGGGACAAAATGATCTGTACACAATTCCTTCTCAAAGAAAGAGTGGCTTGTCCCTGCACTGTACCAGAACTTCTGTTACCTCTCAGCTGCTGCATATTCCTTTAACTAATACCCTTCCTTTAGCATTGCCTCTTAAATCCTGGAACACTGAATTTTGTCCTTTGGTGCTACTCAAAGCTCAGTCCAATCTGTCATATATCAGAAAAGGGGCCATGTCAGGGAATTGTTGAGGATTTTTGAAAACCACTTTGTTACAACCTTTGTAAGCTTGGTGCAACTCTCCTCCCCTGCAGCATGTGGTAACTGTACCCTTGTAATCACTCATGACCTTATGACTTTGCCAAAAAATTGCTTTGAGGAGAAGGGAGAGGATAGAAATAGCGGGGTTTTCTCTACTGAGTTACTGTGACTGTCCTTCTGGTAAGGAGGCTGCAAACTGGAAGGTTGTGTTTCTTACCTGCTCACAGCCTGGAAAAGGGAGAGAAGGTTTTGATATCAACCTTCTCTCTGTCTTTTTCACATTGATTTGGGAACTTGCTAATCAGTTAGGAAATACTTCAGTGACACTGCATGTCACAGACATTGAAGATGAAAAATGTACCCAAATGTAGCAAAAACCCATAAAACTAGGAGTGAAAACCTAACCCACCCACTCATCAGATACAGCAAAAGAAAAAGTTTGATTTACAATCTGCTTCTATAGAAGTCCTCACTCCTATATGTGCAATCAATTATTCAAATAACTTGCTAACAATTGATATAATTATTTCTAATTATTTCTGATTTAAGTCTTTGAATTATGTGATTACATCTTGATGTATGCATCATAAATGCAGAAGGTACAGCCCACATGAGGAGGAAATATAATTTTATTTTTCAATTTATTTTTGCTAGATAAAAGGACTCTGAAAGTTTAATTTTCATGACCCTAAGCAGAGGGTCACTGAACTCATCTTTATTACATTTCTTTTTGTAAGTGAAGTAGTAGAACTTCTTCAGTTATGGAAGCAAAATTCACTGTATTCTTTAATATTTAGGAAGGCTAAAAAATGCAGTAGAATTGTGTGATGGGCATGCAAGTAATGCAAGCGTGCATGTCTTCTTTCTACAAAATCAAGTCTGTAGTGCTAAGTTAAGTGAGCTGTTCCTAGGAGAATATAACCATTGGAAAGCAGCAGTTAATTCAATGTTTGTTAATTTGTTAATTTCTCTCATGACTGAATTTTAAAATTCATATTTCCTTCTACTGTAAATTCAACTATGTTCTTATGATTGTTTAGCATTTTACAATTATTTGTTTTAATATGTATCAGATAAGCATCTGAACTTGAGGCATTAATTCAGCAGGGCATGCAGCTGGAGGAGATTGCTGGCTCAAAACATCTCAGGTGGGTGGGTGTGAGGGAAGGGGCAGGTGGGGCTTTGCTCTGGTGGCTGCCAATCCCTGGCACACTCGGGCAATGCTCCTCACCTGCCTCTGGAGCTCCCACCTAGCCCCAGAATGGCCAGGTGACAGCAAGTCCCACCTGGGGGAACAGCCCAGGAAAGCCAAAGGGCACTGAAACTGAGGCGTGAGGCAAGCACCAGTTTTGGCTTTTCCTCCTCTCAGAACTTCTCTGAGCTGAACACTGCTGGAACTAGGAGAGGTAACTATATTTGTTCTTTTCTATAGTGTTTCTATCTTTCTCTTTCTTCTTCTAATTCCTTCTTCTTAGAGTTTTCAGTAATTTAAAATCAGACAGGCTTGTAGTTCACTAAGTTAAATGGACTACGTTAATATTTTGTGAAATGTTTTATGTTGATTGAATGCTTCTCTAAACCTTTTGCTGAAGTTCTCTGATTTTCTGAAGTTGCCAGTAAAGTTTTTTGCTGTTTTGACCTCTTGAGAAGATGGTGCCAGTATTTCTCCTGTGCATCTAACTCAGAGTACATAAATAAATGTAAGCCTTTTTGAGAGCCTTATTGGGCAAATTTTTGGGGGGCCTTACAGCAACCTAGCAGGGTACTAGGCAAAGTGGATGCTGAGGAAACTACCTAGTGATCAGAACTAACCTGATCTCATTGCTTCCATGTATCTTCACAGTTGAGCAGATTGATTACACTGAAATATCTTCCTTTTTAAATTATTCTGTTTAGTCCTATCCTTTGCTGATGCATTCTACTCACTGATTTTACAGTCCTTAGGGAGCTCGATCCTTCATGGTACTAGCTGTGTAATAAAGATGAGGGAATTATATCTCACATGGCAGACCCTTGTGTCTTTGTGTGGTGCTGCACAACTGCTGGGTCACAGGAGTTACCACCAGGTTTTCATCATGGTAAGTCCAGCTGCTTGTGCTTGGGCACACCAGTTCAGTGTGGCTCAGCAGCAGGCAGGAGCATGGACTGAGCTGATGTAACCTCTGCAGCTTGAATCACAGCAGCATTTTGCTCCATCTGCATGAGATGGTTTCTAGTGTTAGGAAGAAAGCCAGCCAAGCAGAAGTCCTGAAGACAAAGAAGAGTTGGATCAGCAGGGAATTGGTGAAATGGAGGCAAGGGCAGATGAGGATGAACTGAGTACCAGTGCTAGCAGTTGCACCAGTTCTGAGGGGCTGCTTCTGTGATCAAACCTTTATGTCTCAATGGCATCTGAACTCAGAGGTATTTCAGAATAGATTTTACTCTTGCTTAGTGTCTGGCTCTTAGAAAAGACACTACAGAATATCAAGAGAGACAACAGTTATTATCAGCCTGTTGTATACTGTGCTGGGGCTGACATGAAGATTATTCTGGCCTCAAAGAATGCAAGGACATGAGCAATTTGGAAACAGAGCTAAAAGAATGAAGATGAAAGTCACATAAAACTTTCTTATCTCTTTTTCTGAATTTGTTCCTCTGTATTTACATTCAGCTGAAATGTCATAACTCAATGCTAGTCTTGGCAAAACAATGGGAGCAAGAAGCAGCCAGGGATATGCCCAAGCCAAGAGATTTCCCCTCTGAACTTGTGGAGCAGAGGGGAAGGCGACTGGCACCAGGGTAATGTTTCCTTGTAACACAATGCCATCTTCTGGGCCTCGCTCTGGCAGAGGAGGCAGTGCAAATGAACTTGGGATGCAAGTCCAGCAGAGCTAGAAAACACCTGCAGCCCCACAGCCATGTCAGCACAGACTGAATGAGATTACATTTGCAGTTAGCTACTACATATGGTTTAATAGAAGCAGGTTTTGGAGATTTTTCATTCCTTACTGCCTCACACATTGCCATGGAGTATGACAGTGTATATACATCCTGTGCTACATTCAGACTGGCTATTGCTGCTGTAAGCTTTTCCCTCTGGGATGAAAACCAAAGATGTGGTATCATTAAAGAGCAATTGAGACTTTCTGGGTTCACTGCTGTGTCATGTGTAAGTCCAGGGCGCATTAAATAGTGCATTTGTCATTCCTGCAGTGGATAGACAGTGATAGGATAGACCTGTCTATGAAATTGATGTTCTGACTAGCAGGTAGGATTTCCTACTCACCACAATTCCCAAAGGTATGATCCCAGAAGCGTATTGGTTTGTGATACACATTTGCTGGTTGGGTTGAGGTCACTTATATGATTAGAAGTGTAAGATGCTAGTGCCAGACTCCTCTGAGTTCAAATCCTATCCTAACACAAAACTGCCATGTAACCTGAGGATAGATGAGGAATTGGGAACTTTTCCAAGCTGTTCCCATGAGAGGTTTCTTCATATATATTTTGTTTGATGACAACACACTTGGAAGAAATTCCCCTGAGTGCAGATGCTGTATTTTTCAATTTATTTTTTTTTTACTGAGGAGGCAAGGTTTTAGGCAACCTGTTGCCTCAGCTGCCTGAGTCTGTTAGAGAGGAGTAGCTTAGTCATTACTGCACACCTACAAACATCTCAAACTAGGTGCTCTTCCTCCTCAGAGGTTTGATCTAGAAAGGATGCTCAGATCACACCATGTGCACATGGCTCCCCGTGGAGCATCCAGGACCCTGATGTTCAGGGCATAAGCAGCTGAGATCTGGCTCTTGTTCTTGCCCTTGCCCACAAGGATTTAAATCACAGCTCCTGCCTCTCAGCTGTAGCAGGGTTTGTGAGCTGATATCTGATAAATCAGCTCTCTGTTCATTATTTTCCAGGGAGGTGAGGGAGGCAATCCCCAGTGGCACTCAGAGCTACTTGCAGTGAAAGCAGCAAGGTGCAGTGTTTGTCCACCTGCAGCAGAAGCTTCCTGTGGCCTTGGGATGCGTGGTAAGGGATTATGAGCTGCATGTCACATATGCTTTAAGGGCTCTCACTCCAGAGGTTCCAGCCATGGTGATTATATTAGATCTGAAATGGCACACAACATGCTTCCTTAGTACTACTGTGCCTGGCTGGGAATTCTCAGTGACAACTTTTGAGGATTTTAATGTGATGCATTTCCTAGCTTTGTAGTAATGGCCATACCTGATAGTTGTCACTAAGAGATAGTTTACAAAAAATACCAACCTTTGATTGTGGTTCTGGTCTGATATGGAAATTGCTCAGATACAGGGCAGGTAGCCTTCCTTACCTGCAGTATCTACGACTTTTGGCATTTATTTCCTCCAGTTAACTGTTAAACAGCAGCTGTCCCACTGCATGAATGCTAAAAAAAGAGTACAAGAGCTCAGCATTTCTCTTTCCTAACAGGCCCATTTTAGAGGCCCTCACTTGGCAGCTTCTGTGATTCATGCCAAATGGAACTAATTTCCATGACTATTAAGGGTCATTTGCAGAGAGTTACACAAAACACAGCACAGGTTTGCAGTGAACACTCTCTGAGAGCTAATTTTTCTGCTGGCTATGGTCTGTATCACAGCAGCACTGTGACCATCTGTGGGTCTCCCTGCATCTGTGTGAACAGAAGCACTGCACAAAGGCAGAAAAGGTTAAGTGAAAAGATCTACTGCCAAGGGAAAACTCTTATATCTCATGGACAGCTTTCTTCTTTTTAATGTGTTAACTCCAACCCAAAATTGCATAATGGTAGGAGCCTTTGTTTTGCCCCTTGTAGGACATGCATACATTCCAGATAGAAAAGCCATTTCAGATGCTTGAGGAGGATGAAATATGAGTCAGCTCAGTCAGTTGGAGTGATCTTGCTCTGAAATTTAAAAATGGCACAACCTGAAGTTAGTTCTGCAAATACCCTAACTCTTAGCTATTTTCAAGGCAGCACAAAACATATACATGAAAGGAAAACATTCAGGACTTCTGGGCTTCCTTCTTTGGATAGCAGAAAGGGCATCTAGCTTCATGAAGTTTCTTGCATAGAGTAAAGCTGGCACTGAGCCCCTTATCCTCTAACTGTCCCCAGAGAGCTGCAGTGAATGCACAGCAAGGTTGCACCTAGTTAGTAGCAATGTGTGAGGATTCATCATTTTTGCAGCCTCATTCTTTGGTTTAAGGCATGCTCTGTGCAGGCTTGAACTTCACCTAGGGGCAAGGCACTCTGTGCATTTAAATGCTAAGCAAAACAAGTAAACACAGACAGAAATAAGAAGGTGATTAGCATCATTAAAGGGGTTTGCAAACTCGGTTTGAACTTTCTGCAATTACTTAATGAAACAAATTCACTCCAGTTTCTCTTCAATCTTTCAGATTGTCTCAATCAAGACTGAGGGGTGTGAATAAACAGGGACTTGTTTGGTCACTGCTGTGGTAAAGGAAGGGGTAGTGAGTGCTGACCTGGCACATGCGATTTAAAGGGACTTTAAATCCTACCAAGGAGAAGAATGCCCTAGATAACCTATTGAATTGCCTTCTAGACTTACTGTGATGTTATCCCCTGTGGCTTCAGGTCTGCACAGGCCACAGGTTTTTAAGGGCAAATGACATATGGTGTCAGCTTGGCCAGCAAAGGATTTTTTCCCTTCAGTGTTTTTCCTGTGCTTTGTTCATGTTTGTTAAATTTCTCCAGAGCCTCCTGCTTGTTGTAACAGACCTCACCAATGCCAGATTTTCATTGTACGCTTTTCAATAGACTAGTTTGTTGCCCAGAGCAATAGCCTGAGCAAGTCTGGGGACTAAAAAGATCTAAAATTAAAACCCTGCAGAGAAACTGTCTTTGTTCATTCCCAGAGAAATGAAATATGAATATATCTTCGCCAGAAACAAAGGAACCTATTCCACAAAAAATGACAGTATTCTGTCCCTCTCCAAGAGGACTGGCAGCAGCTCCAGACTGCGAGAGACCCAGGTATGAAAGGCAAAGTGACCGTGCCTTGCTCTCTGTTCCCCCCTGGGCACGGAAGGAGCACGGGAGCAATGTGACCGTGGCCCTGGTGACATCAAGCAGAAAGCACTGCTGCCATTTGGAAGATCACCTTTATGTAGGTTTCTCCTTTCTTTACATTTCAGATACCAAGCTTTCCCACAGCATGGATTTCTTTGTCACAGTGATGTGTACCCAGGCCAGTGGACTGCACGGGCTGCTCTTCTGCACAGCAAATAACTGTGCTGGGAGAATCATTCATTTTCCACGCAACGCTTCTGCTGTGAGGGCCATTTTTCAGCTTGGCAGAAGGGTGGCACCTGCCTAGTTTTTCATTTGGCTTGAGAACTACTTCTTCTTCTGTCGAACTACTATACCTGCATTTTTTGACAGGAAATACCTGAGAAGCTGCTGGACTCACCTGCCCCCCTTTCAGCACCCACGCTGGTGGGATGCCAGCATGGGCTGTGACTTTTGTGTGTGGTCCCTCTTCTAAAGATTTATTTGGTTTTTAAATGGGTTTGTAGTCAAATGAAATAGTAACACCCTTTCAAGGAGACATACAAAGGCTCAGGAGAATGATGCTACATGAACTGACTTCCAGACCTTTCTCATTTGTAGGCACATTCTGTCTGGTGCCCTTATGTGGCAATTGTGATCAGAAAACATCTTGAGTCAGAGCACACCTTTGTGTCTTTATTGGTACTTCTCTTTGTCTCAGGAGCTAAGAGTTTTAAAATGTTGAGGAACAGCACTTACTAACTGTTCATTTTGATGCTGGCCCTAGCCCCTAAGGCAGGCCAGTGGAGGTGTGCTGGGTTGTGAGCTGAAAAGCACCATGAAGTGCTGACAAATAGATGTTTTTCTTTGCTTAAGATTGGACCTTGTGTAAAGCAAAGCAATATTAAAATACATGTTGCCAGCTTGTGACAGGGAAGGAAATCCTTCTCAAATTGGCAGGGTTTTTTTATCAATTCCCCATAATTTTCCATTGTTGTTACAGGGAGAGAAAGCATTGGAGCAGGACAATGTGTGTTTGGAAACTGAAAGTATCTTAGCAGATCTTGTAGGATTTGAATTGAAGCTCTGGTGAGAAGTGAGGTGGTTCTCTGCCACGGAGGCAAGAAAAAGACCTGTTAAGAACTTCATGGTATATTAGGTCATTTATACTTCATAGATTTATTGGCTTTGCACTTTATCTGCTCATCACCTGCTCATCATCCATGATGCTGTAAGTACAAAGTAATTTTGGTTACCTGTAGGCTTGCTCATCTGGGAACACCAGCAAATTTAAGGAAAAGAGTTTTACTACCTGTGTACAAGTCTAGGACACCTGGCAGAAAAGTGGTATCCCCTGCTGTGGCAAGTTGAGGAGAGATTGAAATGAGATAAAACACTTTATCTAGTTCCAGGGCAAATAAAAATGCCTAAGAATATCTTTGTGCCATCTGGAAGTACCTGAATACTTCAGCGTGCCAGAGAAAGCTGTCACTATCAGCCATGACATCTTAGAAATTCTTTACACATACTGCTGCTACAACAAAAGTTGTTTATTTTTCTACGATTTTATAATACCATTTTATAATTCCCTTTTCACAGTGTGCAAACATTTCTTTTTGTTATTTCAATGAAGAAACAGTTTCTCGAAGTATTCTTGACAGAGACTAAATGAGCAGTAAAACCCTGCTCTCTGTTTCCCTCTGTCTAATTACACTCACACCTTTAATGACTGGTACTCTAAGGTGTAGTAATTTTTTTGACTGGGATTTAATCTCATGCTTTTTATGACCTACCATAACCCAGATAAATTAAAGGATGTGCAGTGAATTTATTCAGACTTTTGTCACTGAGTACTCTAGTGATGGCAGACCAACATACAAATTCCTCATGCAAGCTGCTGTTTCTTTGAGCTATGAAAGAACCAATCTTTGGTAATCTCTCAAGTGTTACTCTTAAGAGCAAAGAATTCCTAATCCAGCAGGATGATACACAGTCTCACTGGGGCTTGCAGTTACTGTGCACAGTGTTTAGGTCATTGGGCAACTGGGACTTGAGTTTGATCAACAGGCACTCCAAAGATCTTTGGCTTGACCTCAGAGTAAGGCTAAAATGTTAAAATGGTTTCTTTTGCCCCAAATTTCTAGCTATGAAATCAGACAGGCCTAATTATGGGCACATTGCCTGTGGAGTCAGGAAGCCTGCATGCAGTTTTGAGGAAAATATCACAAATGGAGATAAAGAGAGGGATATTAAGCTTATGTGGAGTACATAAATTGTTTCAAATTGCTACCAGACACCTTTGCTGCAGGAGTATGAGGTTCTGCCTCTGGAAGAGGCCATTACTGACTGCATTTTCTGGCCTCTGCCTGTAGAGCAATGTGTCTGATGGGGCTCTGAGCATCCATCACCACAAACTGGTCTAATGGCCACTGGCCAGGCTGCAGTCAGATCCCCTGGGGCCCTGTGCCACCATAGCTGGGGACTCTTGAGCACCCATCCAAAACTGAACCGTGATACCTGACTCTGGCAAGTGAAACCTCTCTGGTCCTAGCAGAGAATTTCCTTCATTGCTTGTAAACTTGTACGGGTCCTGTGGGAATGCTGACTTATGTCAGGATGAATCTGTGCACTTTCTTCTTCAAAGTCCTGGTTTTGTTACAGAATCTGCTTTATTCTAAAGGAGACTTTTGTGTACAGCAGGTGCAGAGAATCAGGCGGGCAGAAGACCAAGAGGCATCACTTGGGTAGTAGCTTAAATTAATGCTTCTCACTTCCAGATTGCAGCTCCTGATTCTCTCATTAATTTCTTTGCTGTTAATATAATTTATATTCAATTCCTGTAGACATTCCAGAAGCCATAATGATAGTAAACCCCTCTCCCATGTTATTAACCTAATGAAATGCAAAACAGGCTAACAAAACTCAGTGGAATTGCAAATAAGCAGGCTTATAGGATATATGAATAAACTTTTCTGTTTCCTCCTTATAGAAGTGGCAGTGGAACAAGTTCCAATTTGTTTGAACTTCTAGTCCTGGCACTTATTATTATTGTGATGTGTCTGGCCACTGTGTGCCAAAGGCAGCAATGTGAATTCCTGACAATACAGACTTTGAGTGACTTTCATCGAGTCACCAGAAAGAAGGTTCCATGTCAGGTAGCTCCCTCCATCATACATACACCATAACCATTGTGCAGGCATTAATTCTGACAAGGCATTTTAACAGCAAAAAAAGTGAGGCCTTGAGATGAGTTTCACCCTTCAGTGTGAAAACTGACTTTTACTGTATACTTAGGTATGGATCAGTGATGAGGTACAGACTTTGACTCTTCTGCACCATTTCCTTGCAAGCACTGATGTACAGACCTAAGGAGGTCAGGCTGCAGCACTCTGTCTATTTTGGGTGTCCCATGACATGGGTGAATCCACTGTATCGAGTTAGAACAACTTTTTTCTCCAAGTCAGGTGATTGAAAACATGGTATTCTTGAAAGATTATTCTGCTGAGAGTTTGATACTTAGAGCTGGGGACCAAGCTTTCCAGGATGGTAGCCACATCTTGGGACGCTATTTTCATTGCCTATATGAAAAAGGCCTATATTGCCTTTTTAAAATTTTTTTTAAATTTTTTTTTTTTAAGCTGATGCCACAGCCTGGCTCATGTCTCTTTCCTCTGCTTAGATGAGAATATTTTTTTTTTTTTTTTAATTGAAGGGGTTCAGGAGAGTATTTCTGGACTGAAAACCACTGGATGTAGACTTTGCTGCTTTGGTTATCTGTAAAGTATCTGTTTGCTGTGATTCTAATACAACCAGGGCCCATTTTGAAAGGGCCATCCCAGTGGTTCTCAGTATTTTCAACTCTCTAAATTCTGTATCAATATGAACAAAAATTATTGTGCTAATCCTTTGGTTTTAAATAAGCCTTCAAAACAGAGCTTACTGAGCTGGTTCTGCTATAGAAGACATGACCTTTCTGGGAGCTTGGGGATGTGTTGGCATGCTGTTGGCAGGCTGAACACAGTCTTTGGGAATATTATGTTACACCACCAGTAAAATCTACCTAAGGGCTTACTGCCATATTGGTTCATTAGTGGCTATATCCATAAAAAGGATACAGAGTAGGGACTGGGACATGACTCTTTGGTACCGAGCCATGATTTGTGCTTTCATCTTTGTGTTCTCTAGCATCATGAATGAGTTTAAAACTGCAGGCTGCAGAAGGCTGTGCAAGGCTTGAAGAAAGACATCCCTTCTCTGTCTCAAAACAGGACTTGGTTCAGAGATAAAAATTGAGACATGGGAGCCTGAAAAGTGGGTTATTGCTGTTCAGTGATTTCTCTGCCCTCTGATTTCAGACTTCCTGTGCATCATTTTGATGGCATTTTTCCACCATTGGTTGTGGGACAACAGGAATGAAGTGATTTGGAAGATTTCTTGCAGTGAGCCAAACACCTGTTCTGAATATTTTTCTTCTGTTTATAATACATTTCCAAAACCTGGGTTACATTTAGCAGAATTCTCTAAGTGGGCTGGAGTTTTGTGTTGGGACAACAAGTATAGGATGTTCAGGAGTTATTTAACCTGGGACAGTCTGTCTCAGCATGCTACTAGTGTGTTATGCACTTCAGCTACTTTAGAGAGCATGCTTGTGCTGGTTGTGGCCAGGGTAGGGTTAATTTTCTTCCCAGGAGCTGTGTTTTGGATTTGTGCTGAACAGAGGGCTGACAACATAGAGATGATTTTGTTGTTGTTGAGTAGGGCTTACACAGAGCTGAGGCCTTTTCTGCTTTCTGTGCTGCCATGGCTGGCAAGGAATTTGGGTGTGCATGGGATGTTGGGAGGGGACACAGCTGGGACTGGTGACCCCAGCTGACTAAAAGGATATTCCAGCCCATATGAGATCCTGCTCAGGATGTAAAATGGGGGGAAGGAGGAGGAAAGCAGGGGAACATTTGCAGTGAAGGAATTTGTCACTGGCACCTGTGATGGGGCCCTGCTCTCCTGGGGATGACTGAACACCAGCCTGCCCAGGGGAACTGGTGAATTAATTCCCTGTCTTGCTTTGCCTGTGTGTGTGACTTTTGCTTTCCCTATTAAACTCTCTTTATCTCAATCCACGAGTTCTCCAGCTTTTACCCTTCCCATTCTCTCCCTGGCCCCGCTGGTGGGGGAGTGAGTGAGGGGCTGGGTGGGGCCTGGCTCCTGGCTGGGGTTAAACCATGGCTAAGAAATGGCTACTGCTAAGAAACCCATATGTGAAAGAAAATGGCTTTTCTACTTTTTGTCACTTGGCACCAAAGGGTTTAGCAAAGTCCAAGAGCATAGCACAGCTGATTTGGTGTTGTTCCTACTGGGTACAGGTGCTGCCACTTGCTGGGTGCTTTCCATGCAGCATTGCTTGAATACCTGTGGCACTCCATGAGAAATGAGTATTGGTACTCAAAAAAGAATCAGGGGTGGGGAGAGCTTCTTTTTTTGTAGGAAACTGTGAAATTCTTGGAGATGTCAACATCTTCAGGATCAGTGCCCTACTTTAATTGATAAAATGTATGTGCTAACTTGGAGGTGGATATCAAGTCTGAAAAGGATGTATCCTATGAAAAACATTATAGTATTGTAAAGAAGGATTGTCTGCTTTACTTGAAAGGTGGCCTTTCTAGTGCACGTGATTCTGAATGGAGAGGGGATCCACCCTGATCATTTCACCATGATCATCTCATTCCACAGGAGCACAAATCCTGTTGTGGTCAAAGGCAGGGAGTAGGATAAAATCCCTTCCTTCTCTGTGAATCAGTCCAGTGGCAGTGGCCTGCACTGTAGCTGTGACGTTGCAGCTGATTTCTTTTCAGCTACTGGGATTCAAATTTTTTTGTCTTCTTATGGAATGTATTTGAACATTTCAAATCATATTTCCAGAGAAAATGTATATTTGGAAAGGAAATTTAACATGAAAATAGATGTCAGCAGCTGAATGTAAATTTTGTGTATTTTGCAGGCTAATTGTAGTGATACAGTGCACAGTAAGCAATTATAGTTGCTAATTGTCTGTAAACAGGACTAATATTTTGTTTCCTGCTTCATATGATTGTTGTGAAGCTGCATCTGTGGAAAAAAATATTGAGTTCCTAAATGCATATTTTTGTTAAGCATATACTTCATTTTTAATGAAAATGGGTGCTAAAATAATAATCAAGTAGAATAACTGTCGTGCAAAAAGCAGACAAAATGTGAGGTGCTCTGATATTGTCAAAAAACCCCAACAAGTGGGGACACAAGTAGTTTGGGAATTAAGGTAAAGCTTCTCTTCTGGGAATTGATTCCTTCTCCTTGTTCTGCCCTCACCACTCCTGCTGCACCTGAAATCTGTTCAGGTGCTGTATTTGAAACTCTGTGGGTCACAGGGCAGCAGCTCTTGCTCACCCCACTGGGACCTGTGCGGTCAAAATCTGCCTTCCTGTTGCAACATAAAACAGCTCTTAAAAAAGCACATGCTACTGAGG